GCTAGTGTAGCATTTTTTTCAATTTTTTCCGAAAATCTCTGTTTTTTCCCGAAAAAACCTGGGGGGGAAAAAACGGGGTTTTTTCCGAGCTTCAAAATTTCCGGAACTTTTACATCTCTAGCAGTGGGTTGGCCCCTTCCAACTCTGGGATTCTATGAACTGATCTTCCCCTATTTGTAAAATGGGGACAGTGAGGCCAAGTCACAAGCCCACATCAACAACTGCACTTGGGAGAAGAGAGAATACCCTACATACCATCCATAGCTGCATGACCCAAGAAGCAAGCGACAGGGTTCACGACGAGCCAGAATGCCAAAGAGGCTTCTGGGACAGCCGCTGGTTGCCTGGGAAGGCCTTGCCGTAAAACCTTCCAAGGCAACTCAGCAGTTCCTCTCATTTCCTCCCTGCCCCCGCTTGTCCCTCACTTCATTCTCCTTTTTCCCATTTCATTCTCACGACATGGCTCCGATCCTGGCCCATCTACACTGGCTCCCAATCTGGTTCCGGGCACGATTCAAGGTGCTGACCTTTAAAGCCCCACATGTTTGGGACCAGCACCCCTGAAGGACCATCAACTCCCTTACGAATCTACCCAACCACTACGGGTCATCTTCGGGGGCCCTGTTTCAGGTGCCCTCACCTTCCGAGATTAAGAGGGTAGCAACCCAGGAGAGGGCCTTTTCAGTGACGGCCCCAGAGCTCTGGAACGCTCTCCCCCCACAAGAGAATTGGGTGTTCCCCACAGCCACCAATCGGTGACGACCTCTTTACTTGGTGTGCCTTCGGTGATCCCTCCTTCCTGCCCTGTGTTTTAATGCTGCTTTTATGTATTCATACTTTAACTTGGTTTTAATAATGCGGTTTTCCCCCCCATTTTAATGATTTTTCAGATGTAGTTTTAGTATGTACAAGGGGTGGACCCGCGAAACTTGCGGGGGGGTGGAGGGGGGGAGGGAGGCAGAGCTCCAAAGTCAGAAGGCGGAGGAGGAAGCAGCAGGAGGTAAGTCCCTCCCCATCCTGCCAGTTCCTCCCCCGTTCCCCCCCCGCTCGGCAGCGGCGGTCGCAGAGCGTTCCCTGCGCATGCGCAGGGGACGCTCTGTGAGTTTCGGGGGGATTTAAACATCCCCCCCGATGTTTTTTTTCCAGATTTAGGATTTTTGTACACACGTGGGGACCGCCCCACGTGCGCACAAACCTCTCCCTCCCTCCCAGGTTTCCCCGATGTGCGGATTTAAGTATCCGCACACCAGGGGGCGACTTGAGAATTAGATATATAGATGTTTTAAATCTGTTAGGATCCAGCGGCCCTGGTGAGGGCAGAAACTCAGGGTATGAATCTTATAACTAAATAGCAATAAATACCAATCCTGTGAGGCAGGTTGTGCTGAAAGTGCGTGACCGGGCCAAGGTCACCCAGCAAGCTTCCATGCCAGAGTCGGAATTCGAAGCTGTGTCTCCCAGATCCTCGTTTGATGCTCTAACTACCTTGTACTCACACAAGCCCTGACCTGGATAGCCCAGGCTAGCCCGATTTAGTCAGATCTCAGAAGCTAAGCAGGGTCAGCCCTAGATAGTATTCAGATGGGAGACCTCCAAGGAATAACAGGGTTGAGACACGGAGGAAGACAAGGGCAAACCACCTCTGCAAAAATCTCTTGCCTTAAATACAAGTCTAGCTCGCCACCTAGTGGTGCATAACGCTCCAAGAGGTAGAACTTCTGGCTGCCAGACAATACTACACGTACTGCCATGCGATAATTATTAATTACTACTGTACTTACACAGTGTGAGAGCCAAGGTGGTGTAATAGTTAGACTGTAAGACTAGGATCTCAGTGAGCCAGGTATGAAGCCCCACACTGCCATGGAAGCTCGCTGGGTGTCCTTGGGCCAGTCACACACTCTCAGCCTGACCTACCTCACGGGGTTGCTGTGAGGAAAAGTGGGATATAAATAAAGTTAATAAATAAACTAACATGTGGGGCCTAGGAGGTGGTGTAGTGGTTAAGTGCGCGGACTCTAATCTGGGGAAACTGGGTTTGATTCCCCACTCCTCCACTTGCACCTGGCTGGATGACCTTGGGGAAGCCACAGTTCTGATAAGAGCTGTTCTTGAAAAAGAGCAGTTCCTGTCAGAGCTCTCTCAGCCCCACCTACATCACAGGGTGTCTGTTGTGGGGAGGGGAAGGGGAAGGAGTTTGTAAGCCGCTCTGAGACTCCTTTGGGTAGTGAAGGGCGGGGTATAAATCCAATCTATTCTTCTTTTTCTTCTTCAAAGAGCCACATTTACGATTGCTTCTGTGACAGGGAGCAAGAGTTGAAGTGAGTTTTATGTTTGATTTGTTTATATGCTGCTGCCCCACTAAGATTGAACCATGTGGCATTCTGGGAAAGTGGAGATGGCAGCCAGCAGATTTCAGTGGCAGAAGTGATCCTGGTTTGACAGTGTTTTAATGTCTGGCGTACTCCTCAGAAATAAAAATCAAAATTGTCTGCATATCCTGCCTTTCCCCCATTTAGAGTGTAACATTTCCCTATGTTCAAAAAACAAAGCAGGTGCCTACCAATGCTCCCTTTAAGCTGAGACTTGTGAGCAAAAATTCTACTTGTTTGTGAGCTGCTGGCATTAAAGTTGTGAGCGAGCAATTTGGCTGCTGCAGAAATTAGTTTGCATTGCAGCCCTCCTTCCTGAGCTGAGACAAGAATGTGTGAGCCGGAGGCTAAAAAACTGTGAACTCGCTCACACTAAACTCAGCTTAGAGGGAACACTGGTGCCTACCTGCATGGTAGAGCCAACACCGCTGTCGGCCTCTCTCCACCAGACACTCCTCTGCCTTTGTCTCTTTCCAGCTCATGTTCCCTGGGTCCTCTCCCTCCCAACTGCAAAGGAAAATTAGGCACTGCAAGAGGAGGAGAAAGGCTGCCTTTTGCCCTGTAAAATAGCCATCTCCACCACCTTTCCCTGCCCGCTGGTGAAGGGAATTTTCAGCAGGTAGATCCACCATGCAGTGAGAATAACATGAAGCCAGAGCCTCTGAGCACAATGAACTCTCTCCTGAAGTTTGTTGTAAAGATGCACAAAATATAAAATTATAAAGCGTTTGAATGGGGCGGGGAAAAGATTTCCCACAGAGAGATACAAAAAAATAAAATGCTCCACGGACCCCAAACTCACCTCCATCCCTCACTTATTGAGTCGTCAGTGCCTTCTAACCCAATACTGCATTGTTAAAAACGTCTCCGGAGAAGAGAACCTCTGCTTACAAAATACAAGATGGCTCAGTGAGGCTAACAACTTCCACATGATCACGCCTCATTTCCTTCTTGACCGTTACTGGAGTAGACACATGAATTGTGTATCCCCGCTATGTTACGGCTTCTGCTGCTGAAGGGGAGTTACGATTCAAGCCACTATTATTTGAAGGACTTAAAGGCTCTTAAGAGCCGCTTCAGTGAAGGTGCTTAATCGGTGGGTCAACTTTTTTGGGACAGAAGCCACACATTTTGTGACGAGGAAACAGCAGGAGAGGGCCCTTTTTTCCCCTCAGACAGGTTGGGGGGGGAATGAACATTTATGAAAAATATTTGATTTTTATAAATCAATTAGGTGGCAACCAAGAAATGGAAAGAAGGGGAGAAAATGGACGTTTTATTCCCACTTCTGGGAGCCAGTTAGTTGCCAGGCCTAATAAGCACTCAAAATTCTTTGGTTCTGGAATCTTATCTGTTGTGGCACAGATGGTGCCAAACATAAGAACATAAGAGATGTCAATGTTGGATCAGGCCAAAGGCCCATCCAGTCCAACACTCTGTGTCACACAGTGGCCAGAAATACCAGTGCCATCAGGAGGTCCACCAGTGGGGCCAGGACATTAGAAGCCCTCCCACTGTTGCCCCCCCCCCAAGCATCAAGAAGACAGAGCATCACTTGCCCCAGAGCCCCTATCTATACCTTGTGGCTAATAGCCACTGATGGACCTCTGCTCCATATGCTTATCTAATTCCCTTTTGAAACCGTCCATGCTTGTAGCCACCACCACTTCCTGTGGCAGAGAATTCCAAGTGTTAATCACTCTTTGGGTGAAGAAGTCCTTCCTTTTATCCGTTCTAACCCGACCGCTCAGCAATTTCATGGAGTGCCCACGAAACGGGGTGTGTGTGTGTGTCCTAGAATACGCCAGACACGGGGTGGGGTAGCAAAGCAAGGCAAGGTGGAGGCACAATCCAGCGCAGCGTGGTCAGAGTCCAGTTCCTAGGCCATATACAGAGTCAGCAACAAGAGCAGGTTCGGGGCAGATCCAAAAGTCAAGGTCTAGATAGAGTCCAAAGGGTCAAAGTCACAAGGCAGAGGCAGGGTCAGGGGTGGCGAGGTCCGGAGTAATTTGACGTGTTGCTTCCACGGCCAGTCTCCCTCTCTCTCGCCACCTTTTACAGTAGGTACGTGTGCTCTCCCTCCTTGCTATCTAGTTCCAGGTGTCTCCGGCAGGGGTCATTTCCTGCAGGAGCGCACAGGAGCGGAGCTCCAGCAGTAAAGAACCCAGGGGGCGGGCACATGCAACAAGCCCCACCCCCTGCTCCCAGCAGCCCTCAGTCAGAGCAAGAAGCAGCCAGGTAAGTTGCAGAGCCCCCCCCAGTCCAAAACAGTCCAGTGTCACCTTTAATACGAAGTTTTATCCAGGTACAAGCTCTCCCTCCTCTGCAAGGACAGATCTGTATGTTTTCCCCCACCCCAATAGCTAGCCATCCAAAATAGTCCAGGGAAGCCTGAGCTGTGGGTGTTGCCTTCTGACACACGTCCGGTGATGTCAGGGTGTGTGGCATATGCAAATGAGTTATGCTAAAATAAGCTCCTGCACCTCTTTTTCTACGAAACGCCCCCTGGTCTCGGGACTGCTAATCGTCCCCTCCACCTTTCTCTTCACCATCTCAGGACGGACCCTCCTCCACCTACGTTACAACAGTCTAGAGAAAAGGGAGGTGAGGTGGATAGTGGGACGCTACCTGGTTCTGGGCCCCGGGCCTGAACAGCTGGGATGCTACTGTCAGACTGTGCATCGTTCCTTGGCAGGGTCGCGGCAGCTCTCTGCAGCAGACGGTCTGTAACTGACTGCAAGGTGGGATCTCCTTCACCTGCCTGTTCCTCTTCCACAGAGTCTTCTGCCTCTTCAGCGTGGGCTGTGCCCAGCTGATCCACGACAGGGGGAGGGGGGGGACAGGTACAGAAGGTCTCTAGCAATATGGGACACTAGCAAATCAGAATCCCACCACTAAGGGTTGTGCAAGCATGCTGCTCTGAAGCTACTTGTGATACCCAGACTGAACACTGGCGCTACCTTCATCCAGAGGGGCAGAGAAGCGACCACAGAGGGGCAAAGGGAAGAACAGTCCTCCTTTCATAACCAAAACAATCACATGCGTGAGTGTGCCAAAGGATGTTCCATCTCTGAGCGCAAAGGGATGGACAGTGCTGAAGTCCTCAATTCTCCCACTGGAGACGACCGGCTCCATGCCTGGCCGTACATCATAAGAGCCTTGCTGTATCAGACCAGTGGTCCATCTAGTCCAACATCATCTCTCACACACTGGCCAACCAAATCCTCCGGAGGTCCAATAACAGGGCGCAGAGGTCAAGGCCTTCCCTTGATGTTGCCTTCCGGCACTGGGATTCAGAGGTTGACTGCCAGTTTGGTGTAGTGGTTAAGTGCGGCAGTCTCCAATCTGGGAGAAGCGGGTTTGATTCCCCACTCCTCCACTTGCACCTGCTGGATGACCTTGGGCAAGCCATAGTTCTGATAAGAGCTCTTCTTGAAAAAGAGGAGCTCCTGTCAGAACTCTCTCAGCCCCACCTACCTCACAGGGCATCTGTTGTGGGGAGGGGAAGGGAAAGGACATTGTAAGCCACTCTGACTCCTTCGGGTAGTGAAGGGCAGGGTATAAATCCAATCTCTTCTTCTTCTTCTTCTTCTCTGAACATGGCGATCCCTTTAGTCACCATGGCCGGTAGCACTGATAGACCACTCCTCCCTTTTAAAGCTGTCTGTGCCTGTGGCCATCACTACATCCTCCGGCAGCGAATTCCACATTTCAATCACTTGCTGTGGAAAGAAGTATTTCCTTTTGTCCATCCCACCTGTGGTGGGAACCCTTTCTCTCAAAATGTAGACACAAAGAATTGTACAACTCAATATTCCGGGCAATATTTCCTTGAGTTCTTCCCTATCACGGCTTTCTCTGTCCTGTACCTTGACTCTAGGGTTGCTAACCTCCAGGCGGAGTCTGGAGATCTCCCAGAGTTACAGCTGATCTCCATAGGACAGCAATCAGTTTCTCCCCTGGAGAAAGTGGCATCTGGGGCAAGCAGATTCCAGAAGATCACATCCCTGCTGAGCCTCCTGCCTTTCCAAACTCGAACCTCCCCAGGCTTTGCCCTCAATTCCCCAGGAATTTCCCAACCCTACTTTGCTCCAGAAACTTGCAGGGCTGTTGTAAGGACTGCAACAACAGGATGTGAGTGAAACAGTTTGTTCGTTGAAAGCACTCTGTCAAAGCGAAGTAGCTAAGCTAAAGCTGAAATCCTTGAGTTAGACAGCTGCAGACCGTAGGTTTTTAGTCTTGTAGGTCACTCACTGGAGAGAAAGACAATTGATACGTGCTATAAGGCAGGGGTGTCAAACATAAGGCCCGGGGGGCTGGAACCGACCCGTGCAGGGCTCTTATGCAGCCGAGGAGCAGATGGCGGAGTGGTATCACGGGGGGGGGGGGAGTGGGCGGAGCTACTCCACTGTGGCTTCAGCATGGCAGGACAGCCTTGTCTGCAACAGTCAAGCATCGTGGGAGCACCTGCCCACGCTGCCTGCACTGCTGCCTCTCCAGTCCGCCTATGTGGGTTTTCCTCTGCACCCCCCCTTCCCAGCAGGAAACCTTACAGTGAGGATACACCAACTCAGAACTTACCAGCTGCTGTCCTTTATACAGTTTCTATCTCCGGTACCTGGAGTTACGTTTTACGGCACACACCCGGCCCGACAACGTAACATGTCAGATCTGGCCCTCCTAACAAATGAGTTTGACATCTCTGCTGTAAGATGTTTTTAACCCTGACTATCAGGGAATTACGATTAGTAAAGGAAATGTCACACATATTTTAATGGGTAGGGTAAACTAAAATTTCAACGGAGGAACCAGTGGGGAAAATTTTTAATTGTTCAAGTTAGCCTTTATTGGCATAAATTGTCGATAAAGATTATACAATTTAAGAGCAGATTAAAACACACACCTATAAAAATACTATGTATCTAGATCGTACAATTTAGGAGCAGATTAAAACACACCTATGAAAATGCTCTGTCTCTGGGGTCCTTTGGCACAGCTTTAAAGCAGAGCGAAGAAACTTGGCCACTTTTTCAGTGATGTCAGAACAGAAGTCATTTAAAAGTCGGTGTGCCTTAAGTGCATCAGGGCAGTCCATCATGCTACTTAAAGTAGAATGTACTTTAAGTAGAATGTACTTAGAATGTACTTTAAGTAGAATGTACTTAGATCCACATTCAGGTGACAATGGACATGAGCAACTGTCTCTCTCAAAACATTTTTTTTTTGCAGGGGCAGTATCAGGCTGAGTGAGATATCTTGTAATTTTTAATTGATAAGTAAACAGGCCAAAGGCCATGCTTAAACATTTGAAGCGCTTTCAGCTCTGGAGCACAACTGTAACTGGAAAACTAAGACTACTACTTTCTTTTTTAATGGCTTTTTATTAAGCTCTTTTACAAAGTGATTCACTGGGAGATGACAAATTGGTTTTAGATCAGGCCTTTCTTTATAACAATGTGCTCTGTTTATCCAACCACAGGTACACTCAACCTCACTTCAGCATCTTCAAAAACACTTGGCACAAGGAAGTTTTTTGGATGTGCACTATGTATTGAATGTAATTGATGCACAGATGTTAAAGGTCAGGTGCTCCACCTACCTATAAAAGCCTCTCATGTCAGCCCTAACAAGATTTGCCAGTTGAAACTTACTTTCATTTATGCTGATCTTATTAAACGTGCATTTAAACTCAGTGGGAAAGATTTCGGCACATGTTTAATACCTCTTCCAATGAAGTCACTGAAATGTAAAACCACCAACAGCCACCAATCATTTATGTATTTTTATTTATTTACTACTTCTTACTGTTTTTTGCAATCAGATTACTGGTCTATCTAAACTCATCCCAGTCAGGTTTTACTGGCAGCAGCTCTCCCAGGTTTCATGCAGAACATGGTCTATCTCAGCACCTGAGATCTTTTTAATTGGAGATGCCATGGATTCAAACTGGGACCTTCTGCATGCAAAGCAGATGCTCTACCAGGTGAACCATAAAGCTCTCTGACTATGTAACAGACAAAAGAATCAGCTGCAATCTGTAAGGTCCCTAGTCTGAGTCTTGCCTTTACCAAAAACTCGCTGGATGGTCTTAGGGAAGCAACACACATCTCTCAGCCCCTCCCCCTGTGATATGGGGAATACGGTCACTGGCCAATTTGACAGTAAAAAGGTAAAGGTTCCCTTGCTCGAAAGCCAGTCGAGTCCGACTCTAGGGTTGCGGTGCTCATCTCCGTTTCAAAGCCGAAGAGCCAGCGCTGTCCGAAGACGTTTCCGTGGTCATGTGGCCGGCATGACTAAACACCAAGGTGCACGGAACGCTGTTACCTTCCCACCGAAGTGGTACCTATTTATCTACTTGCAATTTCTTGCTTTTGAACTGCTAGGTTGGCAGGAGCTGGAACTAGAGACAGGAGCTCCCTCTGTCTTGTGGCACACTCGGGTCTCGAACTGCTGAACTCCTGACCTTCCATAGCCTGCAGTTCAGCGTCTTAACCACTTGAGCCACCGCAGCCAATTTGACAGTGCTGTTGCAAAAATAATGAGATAACATGTGCAAAGCACTTTTGAACACTGATAGCGCAAGTATGATGATGATGACTTATACCCAAATGGTATGATGAAGCCAGCACTGAGCACTTTCTAAAGCTTCATAGATTTCAGCAGAAGTTTGTACCCTGATCCTCACACGTTTACACAGAAGTCAATCTCTGTTCAGAGGGGCTTACATCCAAGTAGATATGCATACAACTGCAGACTTAAGCAAAGAACACTGGAAGCAGACAAATTCCAGAAAGAAAAATCACATACTACTTGTTATTAGAACTACCCACAATACTGCCACATTAACGTGCATCTCAAAATAATTTATTTAAATTGTGTGTGTTTTTACCTCTATCTTTTGGAAAAAATCATCAGTGAACCTAAACCTAGTGAACAGATAAGGGCATTTTTGAAAACTTCAGTGGAGGAGAATTCTTTAAGCACACACCTGTTCTGCTGCAATCCACAGGGACTATTTTTGGGTGCTTTGCACAGGGATGAGTGGTTTTAAAACTCCAACAAGCAGCAGATGCATTCCGTTAAAGAATGTCATTTTTGCAACCTCATGTTCATTGATTTTGTAGCTGTCTGGGTTAACTATGGTCTAGAAACTATGACTGTCTGGGTTATTATCGTAATCTGGACCCCAACACCCCTGGACTTCTTCGTGAAAAACCTGCTGGCTTTATTGTACATCCCAGTATTCGTATAAAACAGACATTTTTCCCTCCATGCTGCCCTGTTGCGTTTCTTGCCTTTCTGCTGTGAATACAAAAACATTTACCTACCAGACGGGCAGTCCTAAGCATCTGATGAAGTGAGCCCTGACTCACAAAAGCTTATGCTGGACCAAGTTTTGCTAGTCTTTAAGGGGCCAGTGAGCTCCTTCTGAATTTGCTGCGTTCGCAGCTTAAACACTGAGTAAACCGCTTTCCAATGGGCAGATTTTTCAATGCACGTTCATGCTTGCTCTGTACACGCCTCGCGGCTGGAAAGCGCCCTTAAGAGCGCCTGCATCGCCTGAGACAAACGCGGCAGATGATCATCTATGCATGCAACTTTCCATATACATCCTACACGTGCAGCTTCTAATTGTTTCTTAACTTGTTCACACACACATGCACGTTACGGTTCTCCCCCAATGCAGGTAAAAATGAATTCCAGCAAATACTAATTATGCAGATTGGATACATCTTTAAAAAATTTTTATGGCTTGAGCATTCTCAAATATATATATATGTATGGATACTTTTAAGGTCCTTCTAAAATATATCTGGATTTATTATACGGTATTATTATACGTTACTACTCTAGTAGAACAAGTGGAAAATAACAAGAAAGTGACAAGGTAATAAGATGTACCTGCTGACAAGTTAATAGATGGCATTGTGTTAAAATGAATTTGCACTTACAGGCTGTATTAATGTTTAAATAGTAATCTTGCTTATGTATCTTTCAATGAAATCGTTTTTAAAAAAACAAAAAATGAATTCCG